TTTTTTTGGTAAAATAAACATTTGCTCCCTGTCAAGCCACCCCACAACGAAAAAGAAATAGTATGCAATAAATGCTCATAGAGCTACTGAAAGACCACACATACTAGCAAATGTGCTGGGAGGCAGCGTTGGCAGTGCAGAGGGCCGCCCTGGCAGCTGGCATAGGACAGCATCCCACTCCCAGCCATGGAGAAATCAAGTTACTTTCTCATGACTTCTGGGCCAACTGCATGTTAATACATCAGTACTGCAGGAGACAGATTCTGTTTTAGCTGTACTATGGTGAGATCATGAAAAACAGCACATGTCAGTGAACAGTATCCCCTAAGGAAGCCATGCTTCAACATTATAGGGAGACCTGCCTTTCTCTCTGGGTCTAACAGTGCTCATACTCAAAATTCAATTGTGACAGGAATAGAAAAGTCTTTCCTTTGTTTGCACAAACAAGGAATTCTTGGTGAGGTTATTATTTTGTCCATATACAGACCAACTCAGTATTTTAAAAAGATGTATCTGCCTTGGAAACTTAGATAAAATAAGACTACAGGGTGCCAAAGTCATGTGGGTACTTGAAAGAACTGCACATCTGAAAAGCTTACTCAGATGAACGAAAGGAGACATGCTAAAGGTCAAATATTCTTGTCATAAACATGGAAAATTTCACAGTAGTTAATTGTACATTTCTGGGTAAAGAAAAAAGTTAACTTCAGTTTTTCCGAGCACACTTAAGGACTGAGACAGGCTGCGCAACTTTGAATGTTTTAAAGTTTCTCGGAAAGAAAACATGGAATTCCAAACCCAACATCCTAAGTACAAGCAGCACAAAGAAAGCAAACCCGACTCCTCCAGAAGCTGCTCAGTGATGGGGGTGGCATCACTTACTCTGAGCTCCCAGAAGACTACCCACACAGCTGCAGCCCTCTACCTTCTCTTCCATTAGCACAACACAACGCAGAAAAGGTCAGCTTACCTCCTAGATCAGAAATGCTGCAGAATTACCATTAAACTTCCACAGTCGGGACCTGTGACAGGGACCAGCAAGCACAAACACAGGGCCCCAACTTGCATGCCTGTGAAGGCCAAGAGGAGCCCTGAAACCCTCCTTTGCAGTCCGCTGGTGTACAGCAGCCCGCATGAGGAAGGAAGTCAGCGCAGCTCCAGACGGAGCGAGCCTGAGACTAATGCAGCCAGCCACTGACAGTGGCCGAGTTCTATTATTACCATTATCACTCTGGGATCTGTGCCTAAATGAAGCATGCTTCCTCTCTGATGCCATTTCCTTTTATCCTGGCTGGAGACTAAAAGCCGATCAATGGGGGCAATACATATGATGTCACTTCAACTTACAGTGACAGCCTCCCCTCCTCTTTCAGCCTGTCTGAAACACACAGAAAGATCAATTCTTCCCAAAAATGGTTAAAAAATGCTTAGGGAGCATGCATCTTCCAGAAAAGCATTCTCTGCTATATTTGTCTATGTTACTACGGCAGGAACTGTTTACACAGAGCAAAAAAAGAAGAAATGGGGGTGGGAGAAAAATCTCAAATTCTCCTGTAGGCTGAGGACTGGCT